GGTTCAAACCCACCAGTCACTCCTCGGAAGGAAAATGGGGCAATCTACTTCCGTAGTGATACTGCCTCGGAAACCCAAGGAGGGGTCCCTATGAGTCGGGTCAGACTCAATGGCACATAACAACAACAACATCTTTCTCACACAGAACAGCTGGTGTGTTCGACCAGGAGGGCTTATTTACAAAAAAAGGAGTCCCTGGTGGTATAAATGATGTGGTATAAATGATGAAATACTAGGTTAACTGAAAGGCTAGCTAGTAACACATAGGTGTTACTATGTGTTAACACATAGGTGCCAGAGAAGAAAGGCCTGGTGAGCTGCTTCTGAAAGGTCAGAGCCCTGAAAATCTAACAGGGTTCAGTTCTAATTTGATACATGTGAGGTCACCACGGTTTGGATTTGACTCAAGGGCAACTTTCGAAAAATATATAAATTTACTAAAAGACTATCTAGAAAGGAGTGGGTGACAGGGAGCCATAAATGATAGTGCAGGTATCTGGGGGTGGTAGTAGCCTTACTGCTACCACCTATGGGCCTGATGGATGAGGGAAAGTAACAATGACCAAAATCTGGAAGGAGAGAGTCATTGGAGAGTGCTGACTTCAAAGGAGTAGTGATTGCCCTTGAGGCCACAGCCAGTCTGAGGTGACTTTGCAAAGAGGGAGCCAGGGAATGAATGTCTGACCTTTCCTACTTCCCTCTATTCTCACAGGACCCCCCCACTGGCCAAACCCAATGGAACCCAGAGTGCATGGGGACCACTGAGGTAAATCCATACAGGCTAATCTCATGGGGCAAAAGGTGGCTAGTGGACCTGAGGAGCAAGGGAAGACATCACACAGAGCACATGAGTGACAGAGCCAGACCCTGAATATTCCCCTCCCCTTGGGTCAATGCTTTTTTTTTGTTTGTTTGTTTGCAGTGTTCCCTCCCCTCCCATCCCACCCCTAGCAACCAATACAGAAAGTTTCCCTCCATATATAAACCTTTCCTTGACCCTTCACAACAATGAACTAATACTGTATTTGTCCTTCTGTGATTGACTTACTTCACTCAGCATAATGTCCTCCAGGTTCATCCATATTATGCGGTGTTTTGCAGACTCTACATTATTCTTTAGTGCTGCATAGCATTCCAGTATGTGTATGTACCATAGTTTGGTCATCCACTCTTCTGCTGATGGGCACATAGGTTGTTTCCATCTTTTTGCTATTGTAACTAGTGCAGTGATGAACATGAACATGCATGTATCTGCTCCTATCCTGGCTCTCACCTCTCTAGGATATATACCTAGTAATGTAATTGCTGGGTCAAATGGTATCTGCAATTCCAACTTTCTAAGGAATCGCCATATTGCTTTCTACAGAGGTTGTGTCATTTCCCAGTCACACGAGCAGTGTATGAGAGTCCCAATCTCTCCACATCCCCACCAGCATTTGTTATTTTCTGTCTCATTGAACCTTGCCATCAGTGCTGGAGTGAGACAGTATATCTCATTGTTGTTTTGATTTACATCTCTCTGATGGCCAATCATTGTGAGCATCTTTTCATGTATTAGCTGATCACCTGAATATCCTTGGTGAAGTGTCTATTCACGTCTTCTGCACATTTTTCAATTGGATTGTTAATTCCTTTGGTGTTGAGGTGTTGAAGTTTTCCATCAATCTTAGAGATAAGTCCCTTGCCAGATATGTAATTATCAGCAAATATGAATTTGTTGCTGTCATTTTTGTCATGTGCTTTTTCATTGTGTCGATATAATTTTCTATGCTGAGCTCGTTTTGTTTATGAATCATGTTATCACTTCCTTCATCCCTATTGTTTAAGTATTTGCTGGACATTTATGCTGCCGACCCTGAATATTGTACTTGATGACTAACATGACAGATTCTTTGGAACACTTATTCATTCAACAAACATTTCATTTTCACTCTGTGAAAAGTGCCATACTAGGTACTGAGGATTCTGAGATAGAATCTCCCACTCACTGGGTACTGATGTGTCAAGCACTGTGCTGGGCTTCAGACATTGAACTCTACAGTAATCCTATAAGTAGTGTTATCATTGTTAGTTGCCAGGAAGTAGATTCATATTCATGGCAACCTTGTGTGTGCAGAGTAGAACTGCTCCATAGGGCTGTGACCTTTCAGCTAACAGTTGAACGCTTAACCATTTGCTTAGGGACTCAAAGATGGGTAGTAATATCTTCCTTTTACAGATGGGCAGTCCGAAGGCAAGACTGGCTTGCCCAAGGTCACAGCTGCTAAGTAGCAGAGCTGAGACTTAATCACAAGTCTGATCCCATGGCCCACTGTCTCAGGCTGAGTTTTTGCTAGAAAAGCAAAACCAGAGAAAGGGAGTGGGGAGGGAGAGAGAGGAGAGAGAGAGAGAGAAATTTATCTCCAGGATGGCTCACTCAGTTGTAGAGGCTGGCAAGCACCAAGTCTGTGGCTCAGACATCAAGCCGGAGGCTTCTCTTGACTCACACAGCTGCAGGGGCTGAGGAACTCTAGACTGGCAGGCAGTGTAGCAGACTGCTGGCTACTGAGGCTGATGAATCCAAAATTGGTAGGTGAAATAGCAGATTGTTGGCTCATGGGCTGTGAAGGCACCAATCTGAACATCAACAGGCAGCACAGCAGGCCACTAGCTCTGGCCTGGGAACTGGATACCGTAGCATACCAAATGAAAGAACAAAAAGCCAGAGAGCTTTCCCAAAGCTTCTCCATATATACTGGAAGCACACCACACCCTGAAGGAAATTCCCCTTCAACTAATTAGCTGCTCACAGCAGATTCCAACATGAAAGTAATTACACCACATCCAATCTCATCATGGAACTATGTCCAGCTGCCAAGATACTAAAACTCACAGCCCAGCCAAGTTGACACACACCCTTAACTGCCACATCCGTGTTCTTCAGGTGTGCCCCTTGTGGCAACCCCTGCCCATAAGAAGTGTAACTGGGAAGAAAACCTGGACAATTTGTTTTCCACCTGAGGGCAAAGACTAAAATAGCATTGCTGCTTTAAAGTAAACAAAGCCAGAAACTGTCTGGTGGGATGCCCTGGGGCCAGGAGGAGCTGGAGATATGCAAACGGCCACAATGTAACTGTAATCAGAAAGAAACCTACACCAAGGAGATGGGCAGGCAGAAGTTCCAAGGTGGGTCTGGATCAAGAATGTAGTACTAAGGTTTTGCTTATAGTGGGGTGGGACCCTGGGCTTACACATACAAAAATCAAAGGTGGCAAATCTAAGAAGAAGAACCTAGAATGGGGAACCAAGCAAGAGTTTAAGGTAGGAGCCATACTGAAGACTTCACCGTACTGTCCAATTCGGTATTTAGTTTCTGCTCCAGATAGCTGGCACAGAAGGGTCTTACTGGTGCTCTGAGCCAGGGAAGTAATGAAACAGGTAGAGAAATTACGCAAAACTCAATCACAGCTTGCATGTGGTTCTCCAAGTATGGTTTCTGGACCAGCAGCACTGATATTGCCTTGGATCTTGTTAAAAATGCAGATTCTTAGATACAGAAAAGAGTAAGTCTTCTCAAATACAAGCTATAACACACAAGCGTGGATTTTCAATTGAGCTACTTTTAAGATGGGCAACAAATTCCAATGAACAACATACATGTTGAAAAAGTTGCCATTGAATCAAATGTGACTCATCGGGACCCTGTGTGTGCAGAACTGTGATCTACAGGGGTTTTTAATGGCTGATTTCCAGAAGTGTATTGCCAAGGCTTTCTTCCAAGGTGCCTCTGGGTAGTCTTGAACCTCCAATCTTTCAAGTAGCAGGCAAATGTGTTAACTGTTTGCACTACCCAGAGACTCCACCATGCGAGTAGCTATAGGCATTGCAAGAGTATTTTTCATTCTCCAGCACAGTAGTTTTCAAAGTGTGGTCTCCAAGACCAGCAGCAACAGCACACCAGGGAACTTGCTAGAAATGCAAACCCTCAGGCCCATCCCAGACCTACAGAATCAGTGACTTGGGGGACTGAACCCAACAATATCTTCTAACAAGTCCTCCAGGTGACTCTGACACATTCTCAACTTTGGAAGTCACTGCTGTAGGATCCCAGTTTGCAATATCAGTAGGTCATACTCACCAAGTCCTGACAATACAGAATTCTAAAATGAAGTTATACTTGCAATATCAATAGGGACTGATTAGAGGGTGGGAGTAGTTCCCCATGGAAGAAGGCATAGAATGTGCCAGAACACTGATACATGTAGGACAGTGTCTTCATGTCGATTGCAGAAGGAGGAGGTGTTAAGGTGAGAACTAAGAGTTAACGCTTATCAAAATTTGGGCCAGGGGCTTAGGTGGGGAAAAAGGAGGGTCATTCCTAAGCTTTAGAAGGTAGTGTCAACTGGACTTGGTTTGCACTGACTCATTTGTATTCTCACCCATTTTGTTCTTGCTCTTAAAACCCATCTTCCTAATTTTTTTTATTATTTATTGTGATTTGGGTGAAAATTTACAGAGCAAATTCACTTTCTATACAGCAGTAACTCATTTTTCTAACCATGAACCCAGACTATGTGATAGGCATTGTTAAGAGATGCTGGGGATGTGGAGATACACATGGTTCATTCACTTGAGTATAGAGAGGAGGCAAAAATAGGAACTTTATCACTGCACTGTGGCCATGTAGAGTGGTGGTACAACAGCACAGCAGCAGCAAATAATGCTGCCTGTAGGTCAGAGAGCCTTCTTGAAGTATTGGAGGCTTAAAGCATGAGTAGAAAGAGGCACATGAAAATGAGCCAGGGCATTCCTGACAAAAGAGTGGCTATCTTCTGTGTTAAAGAGTTTGGGTTAGTGCCTGGGCATGTTCAGTAAACATATAATTGGGCATGACTACAATCTGTGCATGGAGAAGGGGAAGGCAGGCAAGGAGAGCCCAGGGAATAGGAAATGGTGATTAAATCTTCACTGTGTGTTAGACATCCATACCGAAAAACCAGACCCATTGCCTTCAAGTCAATTCCAACTCATAGTGACTCCATGTGTTACAGAGGGTTTTCTTAAGGAGCTCCAGTGCTGTGGTGGTTAAGGAATTTGGCTGCTAACCAAAAGGTCAGTGGTTTGAACCCACCAGGAGCTCTATGGAAGAAAGATGAGGCAGTCTGCTTCTGTGAAGATTTACAGGCTTAAAAACACAATGGGCATCGCCAGGAGTCATAATCAACTTGATGGCAGTGAATTTGGTTTGTTTAGGGTTTTCTTGGCTGTAATCTTTATGGCAGCAGATCACCAGGCCTTTCTTTCACAGCACCACTGGGTGGGTTTGAACCACCAACCTTGTGATTAGTAGTTGAGTGCAACTCATGTGTGCCACCTGGGAACTCCTGAAGCACCCCCAAAGTACTTTCTATTTCAGTTATTTAATTCTCACAGCACCCCAATGACCTTGTGAGATAATGAGGAATGGGTTTCATCATGTGGCTGGAGGCAGCTTTTGAAATGTTTGAAGGAGAAAATGATTTGGGCACAGTTCTCTGAGCTGCTGGGACTCAATTCAGACCACACACGAGAAGTTCCTGAAGAACTTACACCAATGCATGATGAGACAAGATTATGCATGGCCAAAAATCCATTCTAGGAGCAAGAAAGACAAGTTGACTTTAATGTAATAGTACAAAGAGTTTATAATGTGGTTTGAGTGCTCATTGTAACTAACCTTTAACAAACTACCGTGTGTCAAGTTTTGGTGTAGTATCAAAGAAGTATATTCATAATTACTTGGAATGATATTAAAATCTTGTTTCCCCCTTAAACCAAAAATATCCCCTGAAGTTTTCTTAAAACCAAACAATTATTTAATTTAACTAGTAAAGAATGTCTGCCTTGAGCACTGTGCTCTTTTCAGAGCAATCTCTATGAGGTCAAAGATGCTATGGTGGCACAGTGGTTAAAGCATTCACATGCTAACCAAAAGACCAGTGGTTTGAACCTACTAGCTGCTCTGTGAGAAAGATGAGGCTGTCTGCTTTCATAAAGATTTACAACCTAGGAAATCCTGTGGGCAGTTCTACTCTGTCCTATAGGGTTACTGTGAGTCAGAATTGACTTGATGGCAGGGGATTTTGTGGGGTTTTTTTTTTTTTTTTTTTGGTGTATATGGGGTCAATTGACAACAGCAACTCAAAAGATTAGATAGAACCTTAGGGAGCAATGAGTTTATGTTAATGGGGAAGGAACAAAGGAGGATGAAAAGAGTTGTTCAATCTGAAGAAAGTAATCATTGTCCCTGATTTGTACATGTAGAAACAGATGAAGTGGTGAATAGTTTGCTGTGTGTATTCCCAACAACAAAATAAATAAAAGAAATTATTTTTAAAAAGAAGATTACAGATACGTGGGCCCCATTTCAGAGAAGTGACCTGGACTCTGGAGCTGGGAATCTACAAAAAGACAGCTGCAGACGTTTAGTAAACAGCACCTTATTGCCATTAAGGAGCTAGAGGGTCTCAGTTTACAGACAGCAAAAAAAGTATTTTCATTGCTTGATTTTAATAATGGCCTTTTCTTTTTCTTTTAGGAATGTCCAAACCACGAGTATGTATCCTTTTTCCTTCTCCATGTATCTTCATTTTGTGAATTTTACGATTTGGTTTGCTTTTAAATGTTTACAACTTCATTCCCTTAACAAATATGTATTGTGTATCTAGGATCAATGGAGAGGAAATCTTGAGTTTCTGTGTGAAATATCTTGTATTTAGGAAATGTTGTGTATAGTCCTTCTTAGACTAATAATAAAACTAGATGTTTTATTTCATTGTTGTCTCTGTATAGAAAGATTAATATGGGGGAACAAAAATCTTAAAATTCTAGATTCCACCTCTGAGTAGTCATGAATAAGTTACTCTGCACTCATCATCTATGCTCCATGCTGGGAGCTCTGGTGGCATAGCACCTAAGGTATTTGACTGCTAACCAGAAGGCTAGCGGTTCAAACCCACCAGCCACTCCTTGGAAGGAAGACTGAGTAATCTACTTCCATAGAGATACCACCTCAGAAACCCAAGGAGGGGTCGCTGTGAGTCAGATCCAACTCAACAGCAGTGAGTTTGGTATTTTTGGATGCTCCATGCTATTGGTAATAGTTTATGAATATGAACCAGTATGAGTATATTTCAATCTCATTGTTTTCACCAGAGTTTCTTTGGTTATCCTTTGAGCATCTTCTTCATCGTGGTCAATGAGTTCTGTGAAAGATTTTCCTACTATGGAATGAGAGGTAACTTTTAAGCATATATCACCCTTTGGAGAAAAGTATGAATTATCACAGCCAGTTCTAACTTTGTTTCTCCCTCCTCCACCACCTTCCCTCTGCACAAAGCACTCCTGATTCTGTACTTCAGACGTTTCATTGGATGGGATGATAATCTATCCACGGCCATCTACCACACATTTGTTGCTCTGTGCTACCTGACACCAATTCTTGGAGCTCTTATTGCTGACTCATGGCTGGGAAAGTTCAAGTGAGTAGTTGGAGCTTTCTTGTTAACCAACAAGCTAAAAAAGTAATGATAAATATTGTAGTTTGGGATTGTAGAATCTGGGGGTGAAGATTCAGAGAGTATAAATGCTTAAAAGAGTACTGTAGACCTTGCTTCTGTTCATCATTACATCCCCAGAGCCTAGCAGAGTGCCTGGCATTTAGCAGAGTGGATACAAGTATCATTAACAGGTTTTTCCTCTTCCAAACAATTATAACATCTTTAGTTCCTCTTGAAACAGTAGCAGGGATACTCTCTTGTCATTAATGACTTGCAAGGCATAGAGTTAAGGGCTGGAAAAACAAAAAACACCCTAATGGACATCCTCACTGCTGAGGGGCTCACACTGCTCAATGGGCAGGAAGGACACTTGGCACAAGGTAATTTAGCAAAGCAGTTGGCTACTCTGATAGGAAGAGCTCTAAGACTGGAGTCAATGGAGATTATAAGGAGAAGTTTCCTATGATTTAATGAAGAAGGAAGAGGTGGCTCTTCCAGACCAAAGGAATGATATGGGCAGAAGCAGGAATATTTGCTATCTCAAAACAATTCTACAAAAATAACCAATGGTCCACCCCCGATAAAATTTCTAGGTATGTGTGAATTGATGTTAATTGCTGCTCTAACCCCACCTTAGCATTGTTTGCTTAATTGGTGTTCTAATTTTTAATCATTTTCCTAACTTCATTGTCAATTAAAAAAAAAAAAACCCCACTGCCATCAAGTCAATTCCAAGCTGGCCAATACTATTACCAGTCCCTTTTGTTGATGAGTATCTCTCACTATTGAAAGCAGGGCTTGAACCAGATCATTCCGGTTCAACTCCCTGCTGACAATTTGTGCTTCTACCCCAAATATACTGAATCAGAACGTATATTAACAAGATACCCAGGTGATTCTCCTGTATGCCTAAAATGGGAATAAGAATCACCTGATGATCTGTAACAATCACCTGGAAGCCCTGGTTTAAAGATACCAATTTAAGTAGTGAAGTAAAATAAAACAGTCTTTTCAAATAACTCAAAGGTAAAATGGATCTTCCCCCTTTCGCTGCCTGCTATGGCCAAAACTTTGCTCTACCTTTGCTAGCTATGCAACAAATTCTTAGGTAGGCTGGCTTTCTAAGAATTACCATTTTTATTTGACCAACAAACGTATTCGTGACTGGGCTCTTGAACATTTTGAAGAAGAGGATCTTTTGTGATGAAATAGAAGTGTACTGCTATTGTGCAATCAACTTGTATTCTTTTTTCTAACACAGGACAATTGTGTCACTATCCATTGTTTACACAATCGGACAAGCCATCACCGCAGTGAGCTCAATCAATGACCTCACAGACCATGATCACAATGGGACCCCCGATAACATTTCTGTACATATGTGAGTTGATGTTAACTGCTGCTCTACTCTCACCCTAGCATTAGTTGCTTAATTGGTGTTCTAATTTTCAATCATTTTCCTTGAACTTCACTGTGAGTGTAAGGAGGCTTTTCCTCTCACTTCAGAACAGTATAGAGAAGGCTGTTGTCTTAACTAAGAGTTTAGTCTTCAGTATGTCATTATCAGAGGAGGCATTGTTGACTTTGAGGTGCAGCTTTCCTGGGAACCTCTTACATAATGCATGGTCAGTGAGTGGGGCATTTGTGTTAGACTTGATCTTCCATAGAGGGACATACTTCCATAGACCTTGATTTTTACCACCACCAGGTTTCCTCAAAACTTTGATACTTTTGGCTTTCCATCTTGGGCCATATTACTGATTATTTTTCAGTAATTCATATTTCTCTGTGAATATTTATTCCAGCCCTATTGCTGGGTTCTTGATGGAAAGTGCTCCTGATGAATGTTACTGGCTAGGTTAATTTCCCTTCATTGCCTAGTATTCTAGCTGGAAAGATTTATTTCCTTTTCTTGTGCTGCAGTGCTTGATCTATGAAGAAAACTCTTATGGGTTGGGAAAACATAACCAAAATTCAAATTAATACCTGTGATCCCCACATTTCTGGCTTGTTAGTACATCAAATTTCTATCCAGACCATGTTCTTTAATGCAAACACCCTTGGTTTCCATAGGGAACTGTGTTGGCAGAGGGGAGTGGGTATGAACATAGTCAGCTCAGACTGCCATATTTGGTTTCCAGCTCTCCCACAGAGTAGCTTGCACCCTTGGGCAAGCTATCTTCTCTGTGCCTCAGTTTTCTAATCTATAATAGCAAGTAAGAGCATGGATTTTGGGTTCAAATTCTGGCTGTGCTCCATTTTGGTTGTGTGTGCTTCAGTAAGTTTCTTAACCTCTGTGCCTCAGTTTTCTTAGTACCTACCTACTGTTGTGGGTAAATACAGGTAAAGTCCCTACAACAGTGCCTGGCAAGTGTAAGTGCTCAAATCTTAGCTACTTGTTTTATTTCATGGAATTAGTATTGGAACATGGCTATAATTCTGATAAGAGTGTGTGGTGCATACTATTAAATCAGCCACATTTTTGTTTTATTTTGTTTTCAATGCATAGAAAAACAACATGGGATCCCTGGGTGTCACAAATGGTTAAGCGTTCAACTACTAACCCAAAGGTTGGTGGTTCAAACCAACCCAGAGGCACCTTGGAAGACAGACCTGGTGATCTGCTTCCAAAAGGTCACAGCCTTGAAAACCTTATGGAGT